ACACACACACACACCCACACACGCGCGCATGCCCTTCAACTCCAAGGACTCTCTTTTCAAAGTAGGCATAGAGATCTTCTAAGGTAGGAAATGTATGACGAAGATACTGTAATTCTTTTTCCCCCAATTCTTTTAAGAAATGTCTTGATAACCCCCTCAATATAAGTTAACATTATATTGTTGCTTTATTTAGGGAATACTGTGTTTAGATTGGCTACAGTTAGTATATTCTGTGTGAATTAGGTCCTTTTCTGAAAAAGATAATTAGGCCAGATAATTTGGATAGTCATTTTACCCAGGAATTAGGAGAGTAAGTTAATTTTTGCTCAAAAAGATAAAATGTGAAAACCTTTAATCATTTTCTTACAGATGTATGTAACTAATAAATGCTAAAGAGCCATATGAATTGATTATTTAATTGGAAGAAGCTAGAATGTAAAAATTCATTTTAAGCTCAAGAAGTTATGTGGCCAGTTTTAAAAATCTTGCCAGTACAAGAATGTGACAAATGGTTTTTAAAATGTAATCAAAACACACAAGTATATTTTTAATTTACCCTCCTGATAGCTTAGAATCTGTTTACAAGTAATGCTAGTTTCCTTTAACAGATTGCTTGGAAGGGAAAAAGTGATGTGTTTTTCATCTTTCATAAGGACTGAGAGAGTATATTGAAATATAATTATCAAGACACCCTGTGTTGAACATAGAAATTACATGGTATATGTGATCAGTCACCGTTGAACACATTTCCTGAGAATATTCCAGATTGGGTAGTTTACTAGGTGCTTGGTAAGTAAGACAAGGTCCCTAGCTCATAAACTCAAGAAGGAGTTGATCAGGTGGCAATTCTTTTGAATTATGACAGAGACACAGGCATCTGGGGCTTTGTTTTCTTCCCCAAATTAAAAGGGACATTTGTAGCTTTCATCTTTGAACAGCTGAATGGGGTTCGGGGCATTCTCTGGCCAAAGCATGGAGTCGTGCTGCCCAGCCCTCATGCTGATGTGGAACAAGTGCACATTGAATGCGATCTGACATTTTGCTACTGTTGAAGTCATGCCCTATCTATTTCTGCTATAACAGGAGGAAATTACTGGAGCCCCGTTGTTGTTTGGCAGCAAAGAGGGCTCATTGGGTGAATACTGGCTTTTTAGTCTCAGGGACATTATCACCTGCCCAGATTTTCCTTGTGCCATGTGGAGCATAGGAGAAAACCTGACAGGTATTCCTGAGGTTCTTGGTAATTTGTGAGCTATAATACTGTAGTTTGAGATGCTGTGAGCTTCTCAGAGTGACAGGGAAGCAACTCTTTGTTCCTTCTGATTCCCTGATTCCACTGGAAGAGAGAGATCCGGACAGTTCTGGGTAGGGTTAGTGATTCAGCTCTTGTTGTGAAATACATAGGACTTGAGCAATGAGAATGCTTTGGGAACTTTTTTGTTTTGACAAAGGGAAGAGGCAGCATGCTTCACACAGTGTCTTAGGCCATTAATAATAAATTATATATGCTGCATACACCATTTATAAAGCACTATAAAATGGATTGTTAATGCCAGCTACGAGACCTGTTGTAAGTATATATAATACTATATTCAGTCATATACAGCCCATGTTTATTGAACTTGGCTTTTAAAATATCTAACATTTATTGAACCTTTATGATCACTGTTATCCCACTTGCTTTGCATATATCTTATTTAATCCTCACAATGACTTGATGAAGTAGGTCCTGTTATAACCCCCATTTTACAGATGAGAAGACCGAAGCACAAAAAGGTTAAGTAATTGTCAGACTCACAGCTTTTTAAGAAAAAACTATATTTTTATTGATTTCAGAGAGGAAGGGAGAGATAGAAACATCAATGATGAGAGAGAATCATTGATTGGCTGCCTCCTGCACGCCCCCTACCAGGGATTGAGCCTGCAACCAGGCATGTGCCCTCGACTGGAATTGAACCCAGGACCGTTTAGTCCGCAGGCCAACACTCTATCCACTGAGCCAAACCAGCCAGGGCTGGACTCACAGCTTTTAAATGGCAGATTCAGAAATTGAACCCGGACTGCCTGGTTGCAGAGGTACAGCATTATGATGTGTACATGACATCAGGCATGGAAAGAAGCTATTCATAACTTGTTGACTAGGTAGGCTCACTCTATAATTCCTCCACCCAACAGCACCAATATTTTGGTGTATCGTTAATACCTTTTCTCTTCTAATCTTAAGTGTATTTGTTGGACTTTGGCCGCACGTTGCTGGAATTTACTTGGAATGACAATGTGTAGCTTCCTCTCTTGCTAAGTAGTGCTTATTCTTCTGCACCACTATGTCATCTTTGCTCTTTCTAGCTTCGTTGATTTGTTTTTAAATATGTGAGAAATATGGTTGGAAAATGAGTGATGGAACAGCAGGAGGAGGGGAGGACAGTTAAGTACAGGAAGGGTGTTCATTCAAGAAAGAATCCAAGTGTCACTGTCTTGGAATAGGCAAAGATTTTTAAGATTGTGAAGAGAGTCTATGTTTTCTTGATGTTTTATTGTTTCATCTTTTGTATTGAAGTTTGTTTTATGTATATGGTGTGAAGAGGGATCAGTTAGAAAACTAAGTTTAAAAAGATAACCATTTACAATATCATCAAAGAACACTGAACACCTAGAAATAAATCTCAAGATGTTTGAAAAGGGGGAAAGATGTGTAAAAACTATTATAAAGTATTGCTGAAGGAATGAAAAGACTTAAGTAAATGCAGGATAAGTAAATGCATGACAGTATGTCAGTTTTCTCCACATTATTCCAAAGATTGAATACAGTTCCAAAGAAAAGCTCAGCAGTGTTTGCGTGTGTGTGAAGTATAAGTGTGTGTAAATTAAGCTGATTTTAAAGTGTATGGGAATGTAAAGGATCAAGAAAGGTGAAAATAAGGAGTTTTAAAAGCATGGTTCATGTACTCTGGAGTGTCCCTCTACACCAAGCATGTGCCCTGACCAGGAATTGAACTGTGACCTCCTGGTTCATATGTCGAGGCTCAACCAATGCACCACACTGGCCAGCAGGGCTCTTTGTCCTTTCTTATATTTTCTGATTTTGGTTCTGAGCTAACTCTGACTTTTATCTTTTAGCCCATCTACTGATACTTTAATTACTTAGTGTGCTTAGGCTCATAGGGTTGCTAGTAGCACAACTAGAGGAAAAGTATAGTAAGTGGGGAAAAACCATATCCCAATTTAACATTTTAAAGTTAACATTTTTATACACACTTTAAAAAAATGTGGTGGTTACACTATATAATCTTTCCTTTGAAATGATCAATTTATTCCCTATGGGTTGAAATGTTTCCTTCTCTAACCAAAACCACGATGCAGAAAAGCCCTGGGCTAGATGGAAGTACATACTGCATATTGTTCCTAGTACGGGTGTTCCACACAGTTGTGGAAATGCCTGTGATTTTCCTGGCAGTCAAAACAAATTGTCATCCTGTTCTGGAGCAGGGGAACTTTCTAGTACCCTATCTTTTGGACATTTCACTGGCTCCTAGCTGTAAAAGGGGAAAGTGGCACCAAGGGAGGGATAACCCCCTCCCTTGAATTTACTTGTGGACAGTTTCTTTCACATTTTTATCCAATCTCCTGAATTGTGGATTAAAGTCTTAATCTTCAGTACTCTTCACATGCCACAGGCAGAATGGTCTTTCCAAAAC